GAGAACCAACGGGAATCAACACATTGCCTAGGTACCTTGTTAGCCTTTGAATGAATATCTACCCTCGATAGGCTTGTTGTTTTATACCACAGACGTATCTTGGTGCAACCTGCCCCGCGCACTGGCGGTGAGAGTATATTTTGGAATTTATAGCTTCGAATTTGTTATACAAGCGAAGTCTACGTATGCTAGAAAGTTGGGAATCACAGTAGAAAATCCATTCTTTCCTCGTAAGTACAGTAGTTCTCCTTCTGGAGAACCCAAGCTAGGCCAAAACGGGAGATGTTCCAGGTTGGTGGTCTCTCTGAAGGATTCTATGGGGAAATTGTTGTTCTGTGTTTCACCCCTCTTTTGGAAGCAGTGTCAATCAATCAATGAATCAATTTATCAGCAGTGTGTATCTCATGAGTTCCTACTCGGCCATATATGCTGTCTTTCGGGTAGGATTCGAACGCTGATCAGCAGTGTTACCACTTCCCATGTGATTCTTCCACTGGAAATGACATCTGTTCTTCTTTGCTGTCACTTACCTGTGACCCTTTCACGTGAGTTTTGTGCATAATTGTGAACGGAGATGCTTTCAATGCTTCTAGATAGTTTTCCGCACATATGACTGGACACGTGATAGTCCAACAGTTACGCCAGTTACAAACAACTCCAATAAACTGGTTCAATGGTGGTAACTTGGCCCCAGTTTCAATAAATTTCTCTGTCATTGATAATCAGATGGCACAGTTTGTATCAATCTTTTTATTTACTGTATATTCAGCCTGACGACTCTTCATGTTGCGCTGAACAACTATGGTGCCGATGAGGATCACCTCGATGGTGCTGGTGACACATTCGATATCAACATAAACATACCAGTCTTTCATCGTTTGCGTACACTGTACTACAGCGAGAACAACATTTCCAGCTGGTGGACCGTTTGTCGTTTGGGGCGTCATTTCCCCAGTCTTGAACACTTGGTGCTGCTTGGGAATCCTCTCGCACATATCCCCGCTCCTCTGCCATCCAAAGAATCTTTGGGTGCTCGGGGTGGAAGAGTGGTTGAGAGACTTCCAGAACCGACCCGGTTATCCCCAACACCTCCCGGGCACAAGACCGCGCATCGGTTATTCGCGTCGTTGCATACACTTGGTCTATCCGAGACGCTGCTGGAGCGTTGGGAAAGCATTGATGCTCTAGGTGAATGGATGCCTAAATTGGCCAATTTACGCCTCGGCAACGTCCTTCCCGTCTTTCAGGTATGTGCACGTTCCGATATCTGCCATCTACGTTTTATCTGCGTGTGGATTGCGATCGATTCTTGTTACCTGCTTCATAATCCGTGGCAAAAGTATTGGTGACTAAACACGTGACTCCTTTATTCGGTGTGTCCCATAACCAGATACACTGCGAAATCACGAGGTAGTTTAGCCGATGGACAACGTAAAATGTGGAAACATTCTGTCTGGCTGAAGCTGATGAATCCGAATATATGTTAGGAAGAAATATTCTGAGGAGTTCGTCAACACATTCGGGGGATTCTGCCGTGCTTTTTCGATAATCGCCTTATTTCATGGGAGTTTGGTTACTAGATTAGTGAAATTTCACTTGCATCCGGACATTTTGTAACAGGTTTCACGAGTATAGAACAGAGTTTTCTGTTTTCTTCAATTGACCTTTCCAGTTGTTCGACACTCTTGTATACTTGTGCTTTGCACCTGATGATCCTGTGTAACCACCCTCATTTCATATCATCTACATCGTTTAGGAACTAGTTACGGCAGTGAAGCACCAGTGCCAACACTGATGTTGCTGTCTTTGATGATGATGATGATGATGATGATGATGATGATGATGATGATGACGATGATGATGAAGATTAGGAACTAGTGGAACTAAATTAAGAACCGCTGACTACAGCAGGTTATCACAAAGGTGTAGTCCTACATAAAAACGAAAACAGCGCTTCTTAGCACAACACTAGCCAATAAATTGATAGAATCTCTATGACAGCTCATTGCCAGTCCTCGAGTTTCCATAAATCTTATTTTCCACCTGAACACTTGTGCTAAACATATCTGAGGATAAGTCACTTTCCGGATAGTCGTGAACACTTTAAGTGTGGTTTATACTTGGGTGGGCGATTTTCCCGTCTGTAAATAACCTGTTCGAAATGGCTATTAACATATTTTTAACTAACTTCGGTTGGGTTATGCAGAAAAGTATCTTCCATAGCAGAGTGTACCTTGTGTTTGTTCGGCGGGCGAACGTGCTTTATCGATGCAATTTGACATTCTGTAGTACATGCAACGAGTTACTTTTCCCTTTAACCTGCCGACTCTCTATGTAGACACTCTTTCGAGTTGACAGGATAGATGAGCTGGTGGGTTCTATCACACGGATATATTCGATCGACTACATCGGCTTTTGTACTTTGTAGGTAGCGAGTGGTTGTCATTCAAGCATCGGGAACTTTTTTCAACAACCTACTACCCGGCTAGTAGTACCCTGTGGGTAACATTCCACTTCGTCAGTTTTCAGTCAGCCAAACCTACAGAAGCATGTGTCAAAAACGCCGGCTGGTGAACAGCAGTTGTCTTTTAGTCTGAGCACTCTATGCTCAATAAATTCAGGTTTACTCCAAGCTACAGTGATCCGTCAGCAGGAACACGTTTGCATTGAGGGGCAAATCTAGACAGTACTGAATTCCTTCTGACTGTAGTCTCTGTTGTGGGAAACATCGTCATAACCGAAATGAGGACAATTTCACTAATCAAAAAGACTTATCTCCTTTCCTGTGGGAACACCAAGGTAAACTTGCTCATTCAATTGGCCCGAAATTTGAACATCCTTTCCTATGAAGTCTGGTTTTGAAATTTTCCAGAGGGGCTTGGTAAACAATCGGCGGATTTATTGCTGGGCTGTTTACCAAACCCTTCTGAAACGATGACTTCTCAATCGGTTCCAAACACTTTCCAATTGATTGGTTTTGGAATTCTTATTCGAATTTGTCTAGTCTCTTAAAAATTTCCTCGTTCGTGGTGACTAGAATACTGGGGGCTGATAAACAAGAAATGGGGTCACGACTGATGCACACTATGAATTGATCGAGTGTTATCGTGATTTCGGAAAGCTAAATTTAATCTTCTTCTTAGGTTGGATATACCTCACCCTCCTGTTTATCTTCTCTCTCTTGTCATTACATATTTTTTCGGCATATCATTCAACTCTGTTGAACTGAAAGGGAGTAGAACTAATAAACGATTCGCCCAAAATTATTTGTTCGTTTCGATGGACTGTAGTTAGAACTGCTGATTAGTGTGTATTTCCAACACGAAGTGGACCATCAGAATAAGACAGAATATCCAGAAGAGGCCGTCCCCCATAAATGACTAGGATGTATTGGTCCTGAAAAATGACCGCCGCTCTTAATAGATCTTAATCCACTAGACTATTTAAAGTTATTTGAAGTGGAGGGAGGTCAGTGCTTGTCATAATCAGAAATCAAAACATAGATTACGGAGACCTATCGTCCGTCAGTACTGCTTAATTAGTGAGTGTTACCAGTTGTTTTATTACAGTTGGAAAATATCTTGAATTATCCTGAGGTATTGACAGGTGGATGAACCCAGTTAAGAGTGCCAGTCCTAGGATTTGAGACCGGACCGTCGAAACGGACTTCTGCGATGTTTGCATTTGGTTCACCCAAGCTCATAGCCTGATGGGCGAATACTTCATTTCGCCTCCGATGATGTTGAATAGTCATATTTTGAGGTTCTCGGGTCCTCTCTTGCTTGGTTTGCCACATCTTTTACTAAATCAGTGAACTTGGTTAGCTTCAGTATGTCCGTTTGTTGGTCACTTTCCTGGTTTGCATACATCAATATCCATATGTACTGTTCTCTGTCCTACATCAGTCCTGGCTAGAATCTGACTGTCGTGCTCATGTGATTGCCCGCCTTCCAAATCTTACTACCTACAATCGTAGTGCCATCGACCAGGATGAACGCGAAGCGGCCGAACGGGATTTCGTGCGCTACTATAGTCAGATTGAACCAGGTCTTCGACCGAGTCGGTTAGTCTATTTTCTATTCTGGTCCCTTAGCCATCCACTAAGAAATACTTTTGTTCTCCTGTGTAGCCCACTTTTCAGGCGAGACCTGACATTTTTGTGTGGTTCTGTTGACGTATGTGTCCGCGGAATGTCGCCCCTCAGCTACAAAGTGGATTTTTAAGTTAAAAAACCGGTCAATGAGTGGTGCAAACTGCGTAATTGTGTTATGTCGTTTCTTGGGATAATTCGTCCCAAATGCCCTAATATAAGTTGAATGAAGATGAAAGACTGGTAAGCCCATTCGTCAGTTATATTGTTCCACTTCAAGAAAATATTGATAACACAGGTTGCAGTGGTGGCTGGATTTACCACCAAATTGCCCAGCTCAGCGAGAGCAATCGATGACGAATCCTCTTGTTTCTAATCCCCTTCGAACTTGCCGAACATCTTGTTGCATACTCGATTGACTGATTTAGTACCTAGTTGTTCACACGTCCAAAGTCAGGTGATTAGTTCGAATGAATCGGTACTGTTCGTGAACTGACTGTGAATGCCATTTGTGACACGAAAATGAAATTCATACTCACATCACTCGTTTGCACGGTCATCTTCCTGTCTTGATGCAGTTGCTCTCTTGAATCCATGCCAAAGTGGAAAGCTCTGAATTCGAGTTTCACTCCTATCATCATCAGCTCATCAGCGGTGCATATCCTTGACCGCGCCCTTCGAAACGTCGGGCCAATCATCCACATCACTCAAGCGTGAACATAATTGTCTGTTCACACGTGAAAATTGGATGTTTCCATAGTGCGCTTGTGGAGTAGTGGTAGCACGCTCGCCTTACGTGTCGGATCCCCGGAGCAAAACTTGAGTCCAATGCTTTCTCGAAAGAATGATTGCACCGGGACAGGAGGACGACTGTCCAGACGAGAGTAATGTGAGCGTGAGCTCGACAAAAATGAGAGACACTGAGGGCGTTGGCTAAATTGAACTTAACTCGGCGTTGCAGACACCCTTAGGTGTNGCAGACACCTAAGGGTGTCTGCAACGCGGGATCAATATAAGCAAGTCTCTCTGTTACCCCAAGTGGCTAGTTAGTTTGATTACGTGAATAGCGAACAACGCAAATCTTGCGGTGATGTTTCACAATGCTTTATATACATGTACCAGAGGTATCTGATGATTTTGGAACACGCGGGTCAGTATGACTTTGACGACTGTTGGTTATGTCTTCAAATGTTTGTAGTCGTAGTTGAGAAAGGTGTTCCAAGTGAAGGCCCTCCTGTAACTGGTCAGAACAACTGCCCGAAATTTTAGAAAACAAACACAATGCTTCGTTTGCCAAACAGAACTTTTTTTGCCAGAAAGTCGCCAACCTTTTGTTTCGTTTGGGTGTGACGGCATCAGATCAGGCGCACAGCTTTCAGGACACGTTTAGTATGCAGCTCTAGTGTGACGGAGAGTTTAACTTTTGTCAATGCTATTATTCACATATCGTGAATCGGATGTTTAACGTACAATAGTGTTCTATTGTAACGAATTTAGCGTGAGCACAGTAGGGTTTTCTGTTCGTACTATTGAATTGGCCTTACTTGCGGTTTGTATTAACCTATGAGCGGGTGAGGAAAACCCTATTTATGAGTCATGTTTCCATGCGCGGTTTAACCGTTTTGTTATTTGGAATGTAAAAAAGATTTAAGGCCTATCCACCCATTAGGTCACTTTTAACTCAGGTGGTTCACAGGTCCAAAATCCATGACCCGCACTGATGGTACAGTATTCTTGCATGCAAGTTAAACAAGTTTTCTGATCCTTTCTCTACAGTTATTGGGAATTGGAGCGCCAACATGGCCGTCTGGAACCACTGGCGGACATCGATCTGTCTCCAAAGCGCTTCGTACGCGTTCGCGTCGTGTTGGATGGACGTGAAGTAAGCTAAATTTCGTCCGATATCTGTTATCTGCAACTCATTCAACTGCCTCCGTTTTCAGTGAAGCACCTCTATTATGCAGAAACGTAGCTCGACCGTTGTCATTGTTTGATTTATGGTTCCTGGTAATTGCGTTATCAAATGGCGACGTAACCAAGTTTGCCTTAATATCCATTGCTCTGCTTACAGACTATTCACGAATTAAATCTTGGCTTGAAGGTTTCACAAGTGAAGCGCCAGCTACTCCGACTGTTTGATATCGATCCTGCGGAATCCAGAAGCTACAAACTTTTTTATTATGACCAGGTAATTTCTCCACACCAAGGACCGGAGGAACTTCGCTATCCCGCGCGCGCAATGCACTCATATCAACCAGAAACTGGCGATTTGTTCGAGTTGATGCGCAACCCAGATCAGCATTCATCTACACGTTCCCGCTAGTTCAAACAATGTATTTGCATGTAAATATGGCCAAGCACTCACATATGTAAGGTATGGAGCAACACCGGAGTATTTTCCTTCCAGTCATCAGTAGACTCCACTGTTACTGTCCCGTTGATGCGCCGAGCTTTTACAAGTCATTTCACTGCATTTACGCCTTTCGCCCTGCACACAACTGTTGACAATTTTACATTTTTTACTCACTGGCTGTGGCACCCTAATCCGTGATACCAATGAAGCAATAACCGATCGTATATGGTCAAATCTTTCCTGTCACGTGTTCACCAAGGCACGCTGATGTTTGTGCAGTATTTGTTCCACCTTTCATACACCCGTTTCCGTATTGCGCAGCTCAGCTGCATCCTGTTTTATTTAGTTTTCCTCTTTTGTTTATGCTCGCTGGTTTTTTTCATCTCGTTACTTTTTGTTCATCTGCGGATGACTTGTTGGTCAGTCCGACTGGTGATACAGAGTGACACATGTATCTACTCACTGCCTTGTCGATCGGGACCGAATTGTGCGTAGCACCTGTTATGAGACAAGCACATTTACAGTTTAGTGTGTCATTGTTGTCCCGTTCACGTGGTATATAGTTACTACCTATTTCAAAATAAGCCATCGGCAATTCGCTCATTACTTTGTTCATAGTGTCATTTGCGAATTCACACTATCCTTTCATATTTACATGTACGGCCCAGAAAAGTTAACTTCACATGACTCAGGTTTCTAGTAGATGGTGCTTTGGCGTGGAGGCATTTGTGGATGTTCATTCATGACTAATCCTCAGGCATCGATCAAAATTTGAAAATTAGTGAGTCCGAAGTGTTTTGGGAACGTTAATTCTGGAGTGAAAAATGGCTGTTAGTGAGATGCAAATGAAATTTCGGCGCCAGTATTTGAAACTCCGTTTACCAGAGTGGTACGCTACTCACTGGAGTACGACGGATATATGCGCATGTTCCACCTATGTACTTGTTGTTTAGGTGCGCTTCTTCCTGGATGATGCTCTCTCCAAAGTGACAAGTGCTGGCGATTAGACGTGACTGTTCATGACCGTGAACAAGCGACTTTTGAAGAGGCAAGGCAGTCTCCTGGTCAGGAGAAATGTGACAATTCTTCTTTAGTTGACCAAACACTAGGATGGTTATCGTTGATTTAAGCCCCTTACGTCACTGGAATATTTGGAATTGGACTCCAGAAAGTCAACTGGGGTAGTGCTGGTCGGTATGCCGTCTCACCTTGTGCTTCACACTGTCCTAATTTGCAGTTGCATCTAGTTTATTTGCTCGTGGCTTATGTTGATTCCCATGCTAAATAGATCACGGGCCGTCTTATTAGGCATATATTTGTCAAAATTCCCTTCATATGGGACTAACATTTTAGCGGCTGGACTTGACTTGTGTGAAACCTGGTGGTCATGTTTCTCTGAAGGGTGCCAATTGCAAGCCTTATGAGCTCAGTGGTTGGAGCGCGAATTTGCTGACCGGAAGATCCGTGGTTCGAACTTCCCCTGTTAAGCCTTGGGCGACCTGGAAGTCTGCCAGCCCTCATGCTTCCTTATAGTGGCTTGACAGTATAGTAACTGTATTTTCCTCAGCTTAGTTCTCGGTCTGAGCCTCCCAAGGAGTTCACGTCAAAACAATCACAAATGTGCACAAGGTATATTAACGCCCAAAACGAAGTCAAGAACACTCGTACCGCGCTCCATACCAGCAAACTCAGCTGCGCTGGTCACTGCCGTCTTCCTGGATGGGGACCCCGAGACGGGCCACATCAATGGCTAGAGACATT